ACCCCTATTACCAATGTTCATTTATACATTTTATTAGTGCCCTAGAGTCCTTATGGAGGGGGATTCCCCTTCCAAATAACCTCTCTTCCCTCTCTCCTCCTTCCTGTCTTCCATTCATCAACAACGGTCTTCAATAAAGGTAACTGTTATGTTGAATGTTCATTCTTTTGTGCATGTAAATCTATCTTTTAGGTAAAAAAAAAATTGATGTTGATACTTCTGGGTGTCTGGAACGAATTAATTGGATTTACATTATTTCTTATGGGGAAAATTGATTCGAAAATCGTCCATTTCGATAATAGTCCCACTTACAGGAACGGATTATGGACGATTATTGAGGGACCACTGTATTTGTATTGTGAGGTAATTATTATTATAATAAAAAAATATTGAGGTAAATGTTTTACAAACTCTTACAAATGGACATGAATGAACTAAAAGTAGAATCACATTAACCCTTTTAGGGTTTCGGCCGTACCTAGTACGGCTTATGCGCCAGTGTCCATGACGTACTAGAATGCCTAAATTCTAGTGCCCTCAAATCTAATGAGAGAAAGCTGGTAGGTCTACATATGAAAGAATGGGTCTATGTGGTCAGTGTGCGCAGTATAAAAAAAATCCTGCAGCACACAGTGCGTAATTAGAAAAAAAACTTTGACCGTGTTTTTGGATTAAAACAGCGACTTTGCACTGTATTTTCGTATGGTATTTATTGTTGTATTCTAGTTTTCCTGGTCTCATTTTATAGAATGGAAGACATATTACAAAAATTGAGATGATTTTGACTGGTTTTACAATGAAAAATACCTTGAAATTGAGCTCAAAGTAGCAGAAATGTTTGTTTTTTTTACCAAAGTTCAAAAGTAAACAAATCATGCTAAGCGTCCAATACACGTCAACTGGTGAGTCTGATATTCTTTCACAAGTGCGCTGATATTATTTATACCATTTCTACACTAATGCAGTAGTCTGCAGAACAGTAAAACTTCTATTTTTTTGTGAGAATAAAAATTCAAAGTGGAAAGCAAAAGAATGTAAGAGGGGCATGGAGACGTGACTGATGAACAGAGGAAATGTTATTTTAGTGCCAGGAATGTCTTTCTTGTTTATTCTGGACCCTATTTGGAAATTGGCATCTTTTGAAATTTGTGTAAAATTGGCAAAATTGCTAAATTCTGACCTCTGTATTGGATAGTTGAAATCGGTAAATGGGTGGTTTCTTGTACTCATTCGACAGAAAAAAATGGAGTTCTAACGAAAAAGATATGATTTTTGTCGACTAGTCCACTGGAATTTGCCGAAAATAGGGCTCAAAGTGGGCAAAATCGCCAATGCGTAAACATCATCGAGACCGCTAACTTCGCGAGAGCATTATTCCATAAGTTTTCCATCAAATTTCATACTTTTGCTGTCATTATGATCGGGAAAAGATTCTCTATCTTTTCATAAGAAAAAATATTTTTTTTTTTTTAATTTGGCCGACCCTGAGAACAAGTCTCTGAGAGGGCCTGTCGACTCTGAAAGGGTTAATACGCATTTATTTCGCCTGACCAAGTGATCGCCCACTACCTGTTCAGTTTGTGTTCTTACATTGTCTCAACTCTGTATCTTGTTCTCTCTCTCGTTTACTCTTTCGTTAACTAGTTGGCTCTCATTGACGATGGCGTCTAAGGTTAGCTGTGATAAAAAGAGAAGTCGTAAGCTTCTTGCTTTAAGTGCCAAGTTAGAGGATGATGGTGTGCCATTCTGATTTTATTCAATAAACACCCTGCCACTCATCTCTCACACATTAATATTAATATTTTAAGGTAAGTAATAATTGTACTCTGTGTGTATCTTACCTTTTATTTATTTATTTAATGCCTATTTCTATTGCTAACTTAATATTAGTGTAAACTTGTTGTCTGGCATTTATTGCATACTTTATATGTGCTCTGATAATAATACTTGTGGACCTGTGTGGTAGCCAGGTGGAGGGACAACATTATGTTTTCTCTGCTCAGCCATCAGAGAAAACATGTATGAATCTGCGTTTGGCCCAGCCACTCCCCCACTCCGCTTTTGTTTACAATTTTCGGCATGAATTATTCATTACTTCTCCCTTCATTTATGATGGCATCTAAAGGTAGTTGTTAGAAATGATTAAATTCAGTGAACAAGGTATGTCGATGCCAATAATATGGCTCTGTGCCACAATGTAGGTAGCTGGTAGGTTTAGCCCAGGCGGGCTACACCTACCGGCTACCTACACTGACTTCCTACAAATAAATACTACTCTCCTCTCTTCCTATATTAAGACTACACATATTTTAAGGTAAATAATGAGTGTACTGTATGTGTATTTTACCTCTCTGGGATGTTTTAAATATCGTACATTAAGTATGAGACGGGGAGCCAGGGCTACCTACACTTGGGCTACCTGCACCTGACTTCCTGCATATAAGTACTACTCACCTCTCTCCCTACATTAAGATTACAAACATTTTAAGATAAGTAATGAATTTACTGTGACTGTATTTTACTTTGTGTGTTTTTAATGCCTAGTTCTATTACTAACTTAATATAATATAGTGTAAACTTGTTGTCTTTCATTTATATTAATTTATTAATGGAAAAAATGCCATTCTGCCTTCCGGCGATGTCTGCTTTCAGGCGACAGCCTGGAACTTAACCCGCCGTATAAGTGGGGCCCTACTGTATAGGTGAAGACATGATCACTGTGGCCACATTGGTGGTGGTGGTGGCAGCCAGCTGCCCCACTCTATGCTGCTGCCTTCTTCATTTCTCTAGCTTTTTTCATAGTTTCTAATCACTTCCTGAGCTTCTTGTCGATTGTACGCAAATACTATCTCTTTGAGCGAGGCATTGTGTAAGAAATTTATACAATATACAACAAAATTACGCATCCCAAGGCCTGCTGTGGTCACTCAGAGCGGCACACCTCCTCTTCCACGGCACTGAGATAGTCATAGTCATAGCAGCTCTGCCTACAGCCACCCAGAGGGTTACCAATTTCTATTTTGAAGCATTTGGCTCGAAAATATGAAAAAAAAAAAAATACGAAAAAGCCTAAAAATGACAACATATTATTATTATTATTATTATTATTATTATTATTATTATTATTACTATTATATTATATTTATTATTATTATTATTATTATTTTTATTATTATTATTATTATTATTATAATTATTATTCTTAGTAAAGTCTCCCCGAAATGCCTCGGCATGATAATGGCTTTCTTTGCTCCAATCATATTATGATATGTAAACATACATTGTAACCTTAGCAAAGAAATAAATATTTTATATATTTATTTATTTAAGGAACCTCCCTTGAGGGGGAAGTTCGCATTCTGAAATTTCGTTCGTATCCAGAAGCAAAAAATCGACCAAACGACAGTTCGTATCCTGAAAAATTCGCATGGTGGGGCGTTCGTAAGCTGAGGTTCCGCTGTACAAGTAATATACATAGTTTACGTTCAATAAAACATTGGTAGGCACAAAAGAAAGCCATTATTAATGCGCTGTATCTTAAGTAACTAATCACAAGGCTTAAATGTTACTTAACCCTTTCAGGGTTTCGAACGTACTAGTATGGCTTACACACCAGGGTTTTTGATGTACTAGTACGCCTAAATTCTAGCGCCCTCAAATCTAGTGAGAGAAAGCTGGTAGGCCTACATATGAAAGAATGGGTCTATGTGGTCAGTGTGCGCAGTATAAAAAAAAATCCTGCAACACACAGTGCGTAATAATAAAAAAAAACTTTGAGCATGTTTTTGGATTAAAACAGCGACTTTGCACTGTATTTTCGTATGGTATTTATTGTTGTATTCTAGTTTTCCTGGTCTCATTGTATAGAATAGAAGACATATTACAGAAATTGAGATGATTTTGACTGGTTTTACAATGAAAAATACCTTGAAATTGAGCTCAGAGTAGCAGAAATGTTCGATTTTTACCGAAGTTCAAAAGTAAACAAATCTTGCTATGCGTCCAATACACGTCAACTGGTGAGTCTAATATTCTTTCACAAGTGCGCTGATATTATTTATACCATTTCTACACTAATGCAGTAGTCTGCATAACAGTAAATCTAATTTTTTGTGAGAATAAAAATTCCAAGTGGAAAGCAAAAGAATGTAAGAGGGGCATGGGGATGTGACTAATGAACAGAGGAAATGTTATTTTAGTGCCAAGAATGTCTTTCTTGTTTATTCTGGACCCTATTCGAAAATTGGCATCTTTTGAAATTTGTGTGAAATTGGCAAAATTGCTAAATTCTGACCACTTTATTGGATAGTTGAAATCGGTAAATGGGTGGTTTCTTGTACTCATTCGATAGAAAAAATGGAGTTCTAGCGAAATAGTTATGATATTAACACCCCTGAAGGAGGGGTGTTAATGTTGCAGTTTAAAAACTGTAGTGTAAAGCACCCTTCTGGCAAGACAGTGATGGAGTGAATGATGGTGAAAGTTTTTCTTTTTCGGGCCACCCTGCCTTGGTGGGAATCGGCCAGTGTGATAAAAAAAAAAAAATTCGACTAGTACACTTTAATTTCCTGAAAATGGGGCTCAAAGTGGGCAAAATCGCCAATGCGTAAACATCATCGAGACCACTAACTTCGTGAGAGCATAATTCCGTAAGTTTTCCATCAAATTTCATACTTTTACTGTCATTATGATTGGGAAAAAATTCTCTATCTTTTCATAAGAAAAAATAATAATTTTTTTTTTTTAAATTTGGCCGACCCTGAGAACAAGTCTCGGAGAGGGCCTGGCGACCCTGAAAGGGTTAATTAAGAACTGGACATAAACTATTAATTAGGACTTCTTATGCTGTTAACTATAGTCATAAGTACAATAAGAAAGGTAATGACAAAAGGTCAGTTACAAAGGAATAACATATATCAGACTGATCATAGATCTTGTTTTATGGAGTGATTGAATAGAGTTGGTGAAGTTACCATTGCTGTATGTATTTGTTTCAGCACTGTGATGAGAGGTACACAATGAGAAAGAAGCAAATACTGCTTTTAAAGGTTGGTGTAGTTATCTGGCTGTGCATGGTGTATGCACTCTTCATACATAAACCTGCTACATCTTCAAACATTCAGGTATGTTCCTTTTATCATTTAATTGACTTTAATGTTGATGAAATGTTTACATTTTTTCACTTGAAAGTTTCTCATGCTGGTAGGATTGCTGCTCTTTTCTTTCTGTCTATTGAAATTTTTGTGCTATTAACCCTTAAACTGTCCAAACGTAGATCTACCTGATCTAGGGCAATTTTCTGTGTGGTATAAGACCAAAAAAAAAAAAAAATTTATGACCAGTACTTACCGAGATGCTCACCTGACGGAAACATCCAGTCCTGCTGCTTGTAGAAGTGTTACCGATTTACCTTTTTTTCTCGTTTTTATTTTAATTTATGTAATTTTTATGTTTTGATAATTACAATTTATAATAGTTCTTGTGATTTCATAGCCAATCTTTGTTCTGACACTAATATTATGTACTGAAATAGTACTCAAATAGTAACAATCACACCGACAAGTGAACATTTTCACCTGCCTGAGTCATTTACTATTGTCTAGAAATATATACAAAGTATTTATAGGTCTTTGCAATGTTTTAGACATACTGGAGTATATATGAAACTCCTTGAAGAATGGTGTTATGACAAGAGTGAGATAACCGGTGACAGCCAGAGACATTTGATAAATGTGAGCTGCTGCAGGAAACCCTCACTTTATTTGTTTTTGCTTTTGCACACAAACATGTCTGTACAGTGGACCAATGCCTTGCGATATTAATCCGTTCCTGAGAGCTCATCGTAAGCCAAAATTATCGTTAGTCGAATTAATTTTCCCCATAAGAAATAATTGAAATCAAATTAATCCGTTCCTTACACCCCAAAGTATGAAAAAAAAAGAAATTTTTACCACATGAAATATTAATTTTAATACAAACTGAAGAAGACATGCACAATTACTACTCTACTAAGAATAGTATACATGACACTGACCTTTATTGAAGATCTGGTGATGATTGATGGGATGGGAGGAGGGGAGAGTGTGGAAGTTATTGTTTAGAAAGGGAATCCCCTTTCATTAGGACTTAGAGGTAGCAAGTCCTTTTCTGGGGTTACTTCCTTTCTTCTTTTAATGTCACTAGGACCAGCTCGAGAGTCACTGAACCTCTGTCGCACAACAAACCTGTTCCTTTAAGACTTTCCTAAAATGGGCCATAACATTGTCATTGTACAGATTGCCAACACGGCTTGCAGTAGCTGTGTCAGGGTGATTTTCATAAGAACATAAGAATGTAGGAACACTGCAGAAGGCCTACTGGCCCATGCGAGGCAGGTCCTTATCAAAACGACATCTACCTAAAGCTACTCAAGAAATAGCTCCCGTACCCAATGACACCATTCAAACCCAGCCCCTCCCACTCATATATTCATCCGTAATGGTTTGCAGTTCAACCCACTTTGCACACATTACCTTAATCTCTTTTTTCAATTCCATACTAATTCTCGCCCTTTTTACCACAGGGATGGCACTAGAAGCTTTCTTGGGGTCCATGGTGACTTATTTTGCAGTTACATGCACTAAAAACACTGGGATAATATGAAATGTACCGAATGTATGCGTAGAAGCGACTGCACTGGCTGGCTTGTAAACACTGGCGCTGAGGCCACACATGGGATGCGTCCCAAAGGAATCACATAAGGCGAGTTTTTTATCATGAGGCAAGGCAAAATTTTTGCATTCAAATGCTTCATATGGCAGATTTAACGTAACGCGATGCGTTCGTAAGGCGGGGGTCCACTGTATATCTGTCTGTCTGCTTGCCTGCCTGCCTGCCTATCTGTGTATGTCTGCCTGTGTGTGTCTTTCCATCTGTTTGTCTCTGTCTCGGGTAGCTAGTAAACCTGTTTGATTGTGGTTTATGAGCTCCTTGATTGCTGAGCAAGTGACACTGCTACGTATTACCTGTGTTATGTTTATTTATGTCTTATATCTATAAACACTGTATAGCACTTTGCCTGGAATTTTTGGGTTATCCTAAGTAATTTACACTATGTATAATAACTGTACTTATGTGTACATGTGAGACATAGACACAGAGATATAGAGATGTAGACAGACAGATATATAGACAGATAGGCAGAGATATACGTAGACAGACAGACAGACAGATATAGACAGATACAGAGACAGCCAAAGCCATCCAGCCAGCCAGCTGGACAGTCTTCCAAATACATAAGAACATAAGAAAGAAGGAACACTGCAGCAGGCCTACTGGCCCATTCAAGGCAGGTCCATGTCACCCCTCTGGCTTAGTCCAGTTTACCCACCTAGTCAGGTCACATCCACTGAAGGAAGCACAGCATCTGACCTAGTAGCACAAGGTAGTCAGGTCCAACTCACACCGACCTACACCCACTCCAGTATTTCTCTAACCTATTTTTACTTTCCTCTTAAAATGGGAGTGTTAATATGACATGACATCAGTGAGTCCCTGGTGTTTGCCATGCTATTTGCTCTAGCTGGTGCTCAATTGAACTGGTGCTCCCACAAGATACTAAGTTGTCCCTGATTTTTTTTCATACTGCTCACACTTGAGTGCGCAGACCCATTCTTTCATGTCTGGGCAACTCAGGCCTATCGCAAAAAATTTGAAGGAATGAAAAATAAAATGTTGATCTACATTTGGAGCGCTGCGCACGTGCACGTAGATCTACATGTGGACAGTTTAAAAAAAAAAAATTCTCGTGAAATGATAGAGAATCTTTTCCCAATGGTAATGACACTAAAAGTACGAAATTTGATTGAAAACTTACAGAATTACGCTCACGCAAAGTTAGCGATCTCAGCGATATTTACGCATCGGCGATTTCGCCCACTTTGAACCCTATTTTCAGCAAATTCCATTGTTACAGTCGACCAAACTCGTAGCTATTTCTTTAGAAGTCCATTTGTTCTATCGATTGAGTACAAGAAACTGCCCATTTACCAATTTCAACTACCCAGTAAAGTGGTCAAAAATTGGCAGTTTGGCCAATTTTATGCAAATTTAGAAGATGCCAATTTCAAAATAGAGTCCAGAATGAACAATGCGGACATTCATGGCACAAAAATAACATTTTCTCTGCTCATCAGTCACATCTCCAGGCCCCTCTTATATTACTCTTGCTCTCTGTTTTGAATTTTTATTCACACAAAAAATAGAAGATTTACTATTATGCAGACTACTCGCGCTCCACCAACATGGCTGACACAGCAGGACGTGTGGTGGGCTAGCTGCGAGATTTTCAAGGATAGCTCCTGATCCAAGGGGCTGACCAGGGCATGACTGAGCAGGACTCTGTGTGAATGCTTTCAGAAGATTCCAGAGCAGTGAGAGGACATCCCAGTGCATTGTTTCATCGTAAATCGTGGAAGTGTGCAGTTTGTGAGAGTTGGGTGTGGTGAGAGTGCCCAGTTTGGGATCAGGCAGTGCCTCCCCCCCATGCTGCTGGGGGGGAGGGGGCAGGGTGTCTGGGTGGGAATGAAGCAAACATTGTTGGTTTTGGCGAGTCACATGCCCATATCTTTCATGATGTGCATGGGAAATGAATGAATGTTGTGTTTGTTGTAGGCAGGACAGTGTGAACAACAATGCACAATCATTGTGTAGGGAAGTGCCCCTCACCCCCCTCCCCGGGCCTTGCCCCATGTGTAATAAACAATGACCCTCTCATAACTGTTCACCCTCTCATGCCTCACCCACCCAACTCCCAGCACCACCAGAACTGGAGAGGGTACTTTTCCCTCCCAGCCCACGTCAGGGATGCCACTGCATGGACAGTGCCATGGAGTTCGACCGCAAGGCAGCTGTCAGGTGTGCCACAGGCATTGTGCACTCAGTTCCTCAAGCTTCAACATCCGTGCACACTGTGGGTGTCTGGGCACCCGGAGGGCTCCAGGTGGAAACAACCAACAGCCCCTCCCAGCAGAAGTAGGTGACAGCTGTCACGCCTTCACCTTTGCAAAGGGCTGGGGATCGTCAATCAACTTGGCGTCCACCAGGACATTGACACGTCCCCAGGGCGGCTCTCCCTTGGGCTGCTAGCAGAGTCGCTGGCCTCTTGGACCTCTTGGGGAGGGTCGATGGTGCTTCTGCAAGCAGCAGTTCCTGGCACAACCTGCTGCTGTTTGCAATGGCTGTCTGGTTGCCCTGCCGAGGAGGAACAGGCACCTAGCAACGTCTGTTGACAATGGATGAATTCCCTACAATGTTTGTTAACTGATCATTACTCTGAAAATTGTTCATGATTGTAATCATGTGTTCACGATTCATTACCTAGAAACTTGTCATGATTGTGAACAGCTCTACCTGGAGTTCATTACCTTTGTTAATTCTCATTATTGTAACCAGATCTAGTTCATTACCTTTGTAATTAGTCATGAGTGTGACCAGCTCTACCTGGAACTCATTAACTTTGTACTTGGTCACGATTGTGACCAGATCTAGTTCATTACCTTTGTAACCTGCTCAGCTATCAAAACTTTGGAGTCCAGTCCCTGGACCAATTATGTACCTCTGTAATCTTTTGACTACTGCCCACAGGATGGGTATGGGGTGCATAATAAACATATTAAACTAAGTTAAGTTGCAGACTACTGCATTATTGTAATAATTGTATAAATAATGTCAACCCATTTGTGACTGCGTATGGCAAAAGTCGAACATTTCCGCTACTTTGAGCTCAGTTTCAAGGTCCTTTTCATCGTGAAACCAATCAAAATCATCTCTATTTTTGTAGTAAGTCTTCCATTCTATCAAATGAGACCAAGAAAGTGAGAAGGCACCCATAAATACTATACGAAAATACACCTCAAAGTCGGCGTTTTAATCCAAAAACACAGTTGGAGTTTTTTTTTTTCTCATTCACTGCATGCTGTAGGATTTCTTTTTATACTTCGCACACTGACCCCACAGACCCATTCTCTCACATGTGGGCCTACCAGCTTTCTCCCGCTTGATTTGAAGCCGCTAGAATTTTGGAGTATAAATGTGTGTGTTGTGTTGTTTGTCCGCCGATTCGACGAGGACCATCTAGTCATCC